GGGGGTTAGTTTTTCTTAGCAGTTGGAGCTACAGTTCTGCTTACAGCTCGATAAAACTCGGTATTTTTTGTTTAAATTTTTTATTTGTATTAAAAATTTATTTAAAATATATAAATAATTTATTCAGAACTCAATAAGTTATCTTTATTAGAATTCAAAACTTATAACCTCAAAATTCAAGTCCCCTTTGCTTTTGGTGGGGGTGGGGGTTATGGGAGGGGTTTAAAGAGAGAAGACGAGACAATGCAATAAATTGTTAAAATACTTCTAAATTACTGCTGTTAATTAATTTCTGACAGATAATATTCAATTTCCTTTGACTGACATTACTTACTCACTAAGGAACAGTAAACTGTCACTGAATTATATTGGTCAAATTCTTGAATAGGAAAGCTTCAATTACCATTGACCTGTTTATTAGTAGTAGTGAAACATAATACTCCAATATAATATTAAACTACCAGGGGTCTGTTTGGTATGAGGTATAAGTAGATATAATATTAGTATAAAAATTTAATACTACCTTAATATTTTGTTTGGTTAGCAAAACCTGCTATAAGTTATCCCAGGGATTAAAATTATTACCGGGATAATTTATACCTTGTAGGGGGTGGGGTAATTAATATCGGGATAACTTATACCTTCTTCTTAGAAATTATGAAAATGTCATCTTTAGTACAACATACCAAATATGGATAGAAAACAATACCAGGATAACTAATCCCAGAATGACTAATCCCAGCATAACCCGTATTCAAACCAAACGACCCCTTAGTACGGTTCTTATAATCTGCAATTTTAAAGTTTTTGTATACATCTCTAACAAAGACATTAATAATGTTTCTTGTTTTTGCAAAATATCAAATATTTTTAAAACAAATTCGATTTGTAAAATAACAAAAAGTTGGGACTGCAGGGAGTAATAATGTAGTGATCCTATGATTTTTAATGAAAGTATTAGTATTGGATTAAAGTATAAGAAGAAAAGGATTTTTATTTAGTACTAGGCACATAGCTTTTCCACATTATCTGATCCAAGAAAAATATATTCTTACATATTTGCAACAAGGTCAGAATGGGATGACTGAACATTGTGGGGGTGGGGTGGGGCGGGGGGGGGGGGGGGCTGAATGGGGATTGAAGATAGATGAAGGGACAATGCATTAAATTCTTGAACTCTTCTATAGATGCTGTTAATTTCTTGAAATAGAAAGTTCAAATCCCACTGACTAAAAATAATTACTATCCCTGAGGAATGTGGTGGATGGGACAGGATTTCTACGCTCTTAACTAGAAGTCTCGGGTATAGAGAACTTTTTTTTTTCCAATAGAGCCCTTCTTAACACGATTTAGATAATCGAACTAATGCTTATTAAATACCGAATAGTTAAAAGGGTAGCTCGGTACACAAAATTCATACAGGATCCGGAAAATGCTGCACCCAAAGAGGTGTGATGTAGTAAGTCTACCCTAATACAAGCATTAGTAGCTAATTTCACGGCTCGAACTCGTGACATATAGATCACATGCGGACAACTTTATAATTGCCGCAAGGCTCTCCTTCAAGATATCGAATAATTAAATACAAAAAAGAGTAACATTAATTACTTTATAATAGTAAAATACCATTCAATTTAATTTCTTTGTCAAATTCTCAAATGGAAAGTTTCAAATTCCATTGCTTGGTTATTAGTAGTAGTAGCAAGATATGATTAATAATGTAGTGATCTCATGAATATTAAAGTACTAACATACACAAATAATTATACAATTCCAGCACATTAAATGCCATTCATTCATTCATTCAACCCCTACATGTAGCAGACAGACACAAATTATTTGATTATTATGGCAATGTACTAAATGAGCAAAAAAAGTTAAATTATTTGGTAGGAAAGGAAAACCCCCCATCAACATGCACATGGCTTTGTTCCCTTGAGACATAGACTTTGTCATAATAATAATTCAATGAAATAAATATTCAGAAACATACAAATATGGATCAATAATTAAAGAAATGAATTACATAATACATAGAATCTGATTAATTAATAAAAAAACAAATGAAATTTCAATAAAAGAGTAAAACACACAACCACTATGACAGCCAAGACAAGAACAACAAAGCAAACCATTAATTAAGTAATTAACAAGCCAAGACACAATAGAGGGTTTTTAAGTTTATTGCTTCTTGTCTATTACAAATGTCCAAATTAAAGATCACTTCTTTTAATTAAAAACTATATACTATAAAATAAAAATACAGACAAATGGAAACAACAATCACAAAAGCTGCTTCTTCAACATATTTTTTTAAGCCTTCTATGGAGTTTTCAAACCCTGCGCTTGCATTTCTCCATAGCTCTTGGTGCTGAAATTTAAGTAAAATATAATTTAGGTATGATGAAGAAATTAAAATAACTCTTTTGAAACTCAAAATAAAAATATTTAAAAAGGAAAATACCAAGTCCAATAGCTTCTGATCCTTTCATTATGCGTAAACGCTTGCATGAATCGACAAACATCCTGAAAGAGATTTAAGAAATAAAAGAAGTTAGTCGCAGTGTATTTGATATAATGGAATTTATTTTTCAGGAAAATATTTTTCATGAGAAATTTTTTTTTCATGACTTATATCCCTGACATTTGGATATAAGTCATTTTTTATTTAACTTTTAACTTCATATTACGTGCTTCAAATTAACAATTGAATAGTAAGTAGTGCTCCATTATTATTTTTTACTACTCAAAAGTTTCATGAAAAGCTCTCCAATTTGCTAATATTATTAATCTCTTTAATACATACTTTTTTTTAAATTATTATTTCTACTCACCAATCAAACAACAAAATTATTTTTCAGAAGAAAATAACTTATGTCATACAAAACATACTTATAGTTCAGCTTTTTTTGGGCAAAATACAAAACTGGCTGGTCAACCGAAACTAATCGCATTCGCTAGCCAAAAAGTGTTAAAAACATATATATATATATATATATATACATATATATATATATATATATATGTTTTGTCGGTTATTATTCTTTGGAGCGGTTAAAAATATACGATTTTTTTCTTGTTTATGTCTCCTTTTATTTTTTATTTTTTATAGTTATTAGGGTTATTGAAGAAAAATTTCATAATTATAGACTTACTCCCAAGGTACATCCCCCACGAGCATCCAGTCTCCATCTTTATCTTCATAGGTGGGTACATATTCAGAACTATTGAGAAGATCCATCAGCTTGCTTTCATTCATAAAATCTATCATTCCTTGGGCCCCATAATTTCCTGTACCAATTAATAAAATAATTATTACAAGTGGAAATTTATTTATATAATATTTTCATAAACTCAAAGAATAATCTTTAATTAACATTTTGTGCAATATGTAAATCAAAAGCTAGGCTGTATCAATCCTTATGAACATGATTCTGAGATTTAGCTGTTTTTCCTATCATGTTTTCAAGATATTATTCTCAAGAAAAATATTAATTAACTTATAGCTAAGCAAATGGACATAAAACAAAAGAATTAATGTGCGGTGTTCTTTTCTCTATTATTCTCCTTATCCTCAAAATATAACAAAAGTTATCTTGAAAATTTTAATATCTCGTGTATATACCTGTACACATGCTATTAGTTGAAGAATAAAGTAGTTGATTTCATGTAGTAATTAATAATTTTCAGGTTGATAACGAGTTTAACTTCTATGCACCGATAAGGTACAACTTTCAGTATTATCAAGATTTCTTACAAAAACATGCACTAATTATTTATGGTATCCTAATTTCGTAACGCAATAATAAAATAAATACCATGATATAACCAATTTATAAAACAACCAATTATAACTCAAACGTTATTAACACTCTAGAGTATATAAGCTAAATCTTTCTTGAAATTATGGCAAATTATACTATATATGGTTGGTGTTAGTGTACTGCTTGTCTAGCCTATATATGCTTTACACGAACATCTTTTTTTCTATTAACTCGTGGTGTTTGGTCATCTTACGCGTATATCGATCAATTCTACAAGATATATACCATAGTTCCTATCAGCAACAAACCAAGTAACTCTATCCACTGAGACATTATGGTACTTTTTACCCACTTTAGTGACCATTACGCCACACCCCGTGGGTCTTTACATGAACAACTCTATGTACAAAATAAAAAGTTCGAGAGGAAAAATAGACGAGACGAGTGTTCTCGAACAGAAAATCAAATCGTGATGTACTTACCCATAGTAAAGGAGCTAAACATCTTGGCCAAAGCATCAGAAAGTTGTTGGTAACTTTTGTACATCTTCAAATCTACCTTACGTAGGTAAGGTGCACCATCCATGCAAACCTTCACAAATGCATTACTCTTTTCAGTTTCTTCAGTGTTGTTTTTCTGTGCCATTACATTTTTCCTAAAAGATCTCACTGGTGGCCAACCCACCACTTGTGCCCTACAATAATACAAAATTTCAAAACATTTTTTTAGAAATTAATTGTATAAAAATTACATTAGTTTTAGGAAATAAAAGAAAAGGGATTACATCAACTTCTGTTTTTTAGTCAGAGAACTGTGTATGTCACATAGTCAAACCATTTCATTTTCTTTTCTTGAACAAAAAGATTTTTATAAACACTTGTATTAAATATGGAGAAAACATGGCAAAATTTTTACTATTTTTTTTTTTAAGTTTTAAACTACATTTCTGGATATTCCTCAATGTACCACCATACACGAGACAACGTTAAAAATCATGAAAAATGAAAGAAAAGAATTGAAAAAAGACTCGTATTTAAGTGAAAAGAGTATACAGATGAGCCTCTTTAATCTTACGCCACTACACAAACAACAACAACAACAACAACAACATACTCAGTGTAATCTTACAAGTGGGGTATGAGGAAAGTTGTACGTACGCAGCGGCGGAGCTAGAGCTTCGACAACGGGTTCAACCGAACCCAGTAGCTTTAGTCCAAACCATATATTTGTCTTAAAAAATTCATTGAATAGGTACAAATTCTTACTTTAGAAAAGTAGTATAAAATATTACTATATAGAGTCCCGCACCCAGTAACTTCAAATTCTGATTCCGCCTCTGTACGTACGCAAACCTTAACCTTATAAAGGCAGAGAGGTTGTTTCCGATAAACCCTCGGCTCAAGAAATCGTGTGCCACTAACCCTTAAAAGAAAAAGAGAGAGTACTTACTTGGCAGGTGGCTTGACTGAATCCTTGTTAGAAACAATTTCTTTGGTAGTAGGAGTCTTGATCTTCTCCTTGAGATCCATAACAGAAGAAGAATCATTGGTTTGAAAATTAAGTTTCAAATCAACAGTTTCAGAAAACCCTCTTTTCCCTTTGATTTTATCTCTTTCTCCACCACCAGGCAACCCCAAACACAGCTCAGTTTCTTTCAGATCCATGAAATTATCTCTTCTTCTTTTTTCTTCCACTTCTTGTTAACAAAATAACAACTTTGCAAAATATTAGAGAGAGAGAGAGTAGAGAGAGAGAGAAAAGGACAATGTTGCAAAATGCAATAATATAGTAATGTAGTAACAAAAATAAGGGGAGCAAAGTATATAGTTTCATGTGCATATATACCAAATGGTTTCAATATAGCTATCAAATTCCAATGAATTGTCTGCTGACACGTGGAGATACATGGTATGTTGATCTTCTAGGGATCAAAGGCCATGTTACTAAAATAATTAAAACAAATTATTTTAGAAAAAAATGGTCTGGCTTTAGCTTTTGTGGGGGATATGTAAAAATATTATATTATGATACCCTAATGATTTGTCTATATCATTTCTTGGGTTTTTTAATTTATGATCAAGTGGATGGTTTTTTTTTTAATAATCTTTTATTTTCTTTTTGTTACGGAAAAAAAGGACTTGGATGGGGAATGCCATGATTAAGGTAACAAAATGTGATTGAATTGAATAGTGGTCCAATAAAGAGCAATGATCTATCATAATATTGCTATATAGATTGTATTTTCTATTTCAAATATTTTGATAGTTCCATTAATTCATGTAAAATTTGACTTATTATGTATTGTCACTAGCAACTTGATCCAGGTTTTTTTATTTTTTTATTTTTCCATTGCAATCATCAAAATCCTGGAATTTAGATAAGCTTTACTTTCCTTCCAAATATAATGACACACTTATAATGAACAATAATCATGAATAATATGTATTATTTAGGAGAAAGTACTAATTATTCACTAGCAAATGGGATTGAATTTAATATATAGTGGTCCAATAAAGAGAGCAATGATCGATCAGCTTCTCAATATATAATATAGTCACCAAACTATATTAAGAGAAAAGATAGAGTGTATTTTATCCTTCAAGTATATTAATTGATAGTTCCATTAATATTATGTATTGTCACTAGCTAGAAACTATACTCATGTGTTTTCACCTTGCTATTGCAATCATCAACCTTAAATTTGGAAAAAAATTAATTTCCTGCGAGATAAAAGAGAATTCTATTATCATAAAAAAGGACAGTTCGGTGCACTAAGCTCCCGTTATCCGTGGGGTTCGGGGAATGGTCGAACCACAAGGGTCTATCGTACGCAGCCTTACCCTGCATTTCCGTAAGATACTATTTCCACGGCTTACACCCGTGACCCTGGTCCCTGGTCACATGGCCGAATTCTATATTATTATATCTCCGTAAATTCACTATAGATCAAATGTCTTATGCGATATTTTTTTCAAAGAATGATTACATGCATGATATATACTTCTTGAGCTTATATTTAAAGTTATAAGAATTTAATTTATATATATTGTCAGTATAGAATCTTCACTTTTTCATAATTATATCAATTAGAAGGCAAATTGAAGTTTTTATTTTGCACATTAAGATTGTAGTAATTGAAAATAAATTAAATCTATTATGTCATGATGCAATGATTAATTTTGTCATTCGCATAGCAAACGCCACTTAATCTTACCCTCTGTTATATTTCCAATTCAACCAAATATATAAAAAGAATCTTTCCCTTATATTTAATTTGATTTTCCACCACATTTCCTAAAATTTAAAAAATAAAGTGCATGTTACTCTAGACACAAGCGAGACAATATCAGAGAGGTGAAAACATAGATATTTGGG